GTAAAAAGTAAGACTCAATATATTCACGGACAAATCTTTAGTAAAAAAATCCTAATTAAAAAATGTCTTTTTTTTTGTATACAAAAAACTTGTGATGTTTACTGAAAGTTTGTGAAGATACATGTACTGTATTAAAAGCTATAATATGTAGACTGTAATGAGTACCCATGGTTACAAAGTTGGTCGATTTGACTGATCTCATAATGAGAGAGAGTTAATAGCAATAATTTTTCCATAGTACAATCAAAAACTATATATGAATATACAAAATTTTAGAGTTTACATTTTGTTTTTCAATTTAATTATCTCTGTGGGTGTGGATGTTATAGTTTAATATATAGGTTAGTAAGTTTGCCAGTTTTTTGAATGTATCTCTTGTTAGTTTAATATTGTGGTTGGTAATTCAAATCAGATAAAGCTGCTTTAGAACTAAGAAAAGTTCCTTTCCTTGATGAGTTTGAACACATGCTGTCAATAAAATATGACTAGGAATTTCTGAAAGTCCTTTATGCATTCCAGAATATATGTTGCGTGCACATAATTCTCTTCTTTCTCACCTCAGGGGATCTTACATAAGCTCTACTTTCCGGATCTTACATAAACTCTGCTTTTCGGATCTTACATAAGCTCTGCTTTCCAGATCTTACATAAGCTCTGCTTTCCCACCATAACTTACATTTTCTTGTTGGCATTTGTGCTGCTAACTTTGCCTCAACATTCTTTCTGATGCTAATATTTCTTCTATTATCATAATTTTATAACTTATACAAATTGCTGGTAATGTGCAGGGCAGATTGAAAATGCTATGTCAGCTCTTGATATTTCAATGTAGACCAATATTTCGCAGGTAGCATTATAATTGTGTGAACACTTAATTTGCATAACCATTGCTATTTTTGTTTGTTTATGATGAACTTCATTTTTTTGCTCAGGCTTAATTGACTTCAGAGGCTGCATAGCTGGATTTGTCTGCTGCAGTGCTAGATCTACTAATATTGATTACACTTTGCTATCCTCATTTCATTTCTCTCAAGTATGTTACATATTCTCAGTATTGAATCTTTTACCAATAAACCTAAGAATGCTTTTGTCATGTGATAATTTTTTCACTTAATTCTTTTACTATCTTTCACCTGATATTGGATTTCTTTCAAAACTTGCACTATTACTCTTCCATCACATTTTTGACCCATACTTAGAGGGAAGGAGTCTGTTCCACTTTTCTTTTCCTTCGAGCACTCCCCAGTTTTCTAACCCGCACATTGTGATTTTGTCTTGTTTTCAGCCTTTCTTTTTCTTCATTACTATAAGTTATTCTCATTCTTCTAATTATTTTAATCAGGATTTAATATCTACTTTGGTATCTTTCTTACTTTTGAGTCTCAATGCTATTACCTTGTGACTCTGGTGTTTCTTTGACACTTTACCTGTTGGGCTGTGTTTCAAGGTATTCAACTGTTAACCATTTTGCTATGGGTACCTCTTTAAACCCTTTTCTGCACAAGTTACTGTGTTATGTTCAAAGTTTCATTAAACACCTTTACTATAAATTTATGTGAATTAAATTAACATTATAGTGTATTTTATGATTTGAAGTTTTATGTTATGTAAGTTTAAGTCCTTTATTTAAAAAGAAACTTTTCAAAAAACTATTTAAAACTTCAGATATATTGTTAAGTGAATATGAAAATTCTTTTCTTTGGCATTCTGTATCTTCGAAAGTACAATGGTAATGTTGTAGATGTATGTCTAGACAATAAGATGCTTACATAACCTTTTGACTTGTACATTTCAAATATCTCTGAATGATTGCAGTTGAAGCAAGTAATACATTTTTCAACCCCTGACAGATGCCACACCCACCTTCAACAGATTTCTTAAGGCTTTCTAGCCTACATGTAGATGTTACATACACATGTGTATAGTCATTAGAAAGAGCTCATTTTACACTTTAATCTAACAACTGTTATTTTGTAATTGTAATATTGTTGGCTGCTTGATCAACTGTATGGTTGTTTCTTACCTAAATATGTTAAAGATAAAGATAAATTGTATTAGGTAGGTCTTACTTTTATACTTTAGTTAATCATGTATTGAAATGCATAATTGAAAGGGTTAAACATTTTTTAAACATACATAATCTTTTATGCCAATTCTCAAGGCTTAAGGTATTACATGGTGAATGAAAATTTTTCTGAAGTGTTGTGCATGTCTGCCAGAGACACCATAATATGCCTCAATGGAACTGTTGACTTGTGTTGAAATGAATAATAAATGGTAAAGGACAAGAAAGGGAAATAAAACATTAAAAATTAACTGTATGTGAAAAGGAAAAAATCTGAAATTATGAATATAACCAAAACAATATTTTTAAAGATAATCTACAAAAAATGAAAAGGTATGTTCTTTTTTTTTTGTTTCCCAATTTTAATTATTTCATTGCATTGTACATT